CTGGAAAGTCGTTCCCATCGGCGTAGCGCGAAACAAGACCATTCTTACCGGGAAATGGGTCTTCCGTGTGAAGACGAAGGCCGACGGCACCATCGACAAGTTCAAAGCGCGTTGGGTCGTTCGCGGCTTCGACCAGGAACATGGACGAGACTTCACCGAAACCTTCGCTCCGGTCAGCCGCCACACTTCACTTCGAATTCTTCTCGCCATCGCCGCTATGAAGAAGAAGAAACTGCGCCAAATCGACGTCGCGAACGCATTTCTCTACGCACCGGTCGATGCAGAGATTTTCGTGGAACTACCGCACGGCTCCAACACAAATTCCACGCACGTCTGCCAGCTACTAAAATCGCTCTACGGGATCAAGCAGGCACCGCGACTGTGGCAGCAGTACCTGCATACTCGCCTCATCCGCATCGGCTTCAAACAACTCCCGCACGATCAGGGCATGTACCGCCTCACGAAGAACAGCGACTACATCTTGCTAATTGTCTACGTGGACGATCTTCTCTACATCGGCTCTACCGACGGCATCACCACCTGGTTCGAAGGGGAGCTGCAGAAGGACCTCACCCTCACTGTCTCATCTACCGTCACACAGTATCTCGGACTTAACATTCGAGAAGATAACGACGCGATCTACCTCAGCGCCGAAAAGTACGCCGACACCATCGCCAAACGATTCGGAATTACGCCAGCCGCGATCTCAACACCATACCGCTACACGACAGGAGCCGATAAGGAATCTGCCCCACTTAAGCCCGCCGGCATACGCGACTATCAGAGGAAGCTAGGTTGCCTCCTCTTCGCAGCCGTCACTTGCCGACCCGACCTATCCTACTCCGCAAGCCAGCTCGCCACTCATCTCAAGAAGCCTGAAGCAGAACACCTGGCGGAACTTGACCGCGCTCTGCACTACTTTATCAGCACCGCGATGATCGGCCTAACTTATCACAAGAACGCAGCTACACCAACCAAGCTAATCGGCTACGTCGATGCCGATCACGCCGGCGACACTGACAACAGGCGCTCACGCACCGGCTATGTCTACCGCCTCGAGCCTATCGGTCCTATCTCCTGGCAGTCGAGCAAGCAGGAGTTAATTGCACTATCTTCAGCCGAAGCAGAATATATCGCGCTCTGCTCAGCCACCAAGGAGGGACTTTACCTTCGCGAGCTACTGGAAGAAGCGAAGTTAGCCGAGTTACCCAACTTCACCGTGTTCTGCGACAACCAGTCAGCAATTCGTATCGCCAACAAGAACTTCTTCGCGAACAGGACGAAACACATCGCCCTGCGTTACTTCTTCGTAAAGGACGAGATCGAGAAAGGGAGACTCGAGCTATCGTACTGTCCCACGTCTGAGATGGCAGCTGACTACTTGACCAAGAAGCTTGGAAAACAAAAGTTCAAGTACTGCATGCTGCTGACTGGACAAAGCCACGTCATCAGCAGCGACACTCCAGAAGCGAAGGGGAGTGTTGGAAACAATAAAACTTAAGCGCTTCAGTCGTGTCGAAACACCGCACCAGAAGCGAGGCAAACTACACCGAAGCACCCGCGAGTCAACCCTCGGAGGTTAAAAGAGGTTGCTGGAGGTTACGCGAAAGTCAAAGGTCAGCAACCTTTGACCCGACAAGTACAGCGCGACAGTTAAGGACATACAACTGACTCGTTACAGAGCAGTTGCCCGAGTCGTCACTATATCGAACCGCAACAGCAACAGTAAAAGTAGTTATAACTGTATCCTTTGATATTCCTTGCACTACTATATATTCTTGTACTTTCCTGTTATAATCTACTTTGCCCTCACACACTAGCGCAAGGTGATTCACAAGTTTTATTAAAGCTTCCGCTGTTACAATACTATCCTACCCAGAGTTATTCCTGAAAAGATCCTAAAGGGCCATCTCAGCCCAACATGAAGCACGGAGATAATGAGCGGCACGGGATGAGAAAGTAGAGAGTTGTCGACCTCGTTTCCCACTCCCGTCGCCCTCGCTTCCCCCTCCCGTCGCCCTCGCTTCCCCCACCCATCGCCCTCGCATCCCCCTCCCGTCGCCCTCGCTTCCCCCTCCCGTCGCCCTCGCTTCCCCCTCCCGTCGCCCTCGCTTTCCCCCCCCGTCGCCCTTCCATCCCCGTCCCGTCCCCCTCCCATCCCCCTCGCGTTCCCCTCCCCTTGCGCTCCCATCTCCCTCCCATCACCCTCCGATCCCCCTCCCATCGCGCTCTTATCTCCCTCCCCTTGCGCTCCCATCCCCTTCCCATCTCCCTCCCATCCCCTCCCATCTCCCTCCCATCCCCCTCCCATCTCCCTCCCATCCTCGTCCCGTCCCCCTCCCATCCCCCTCCCATCCCCCTCCCGTCCCCATCCCATCGCCCTCGCTTCCCCTTCCTGTCGCCCTCGCTTCCCCCTCCCGTCGCCAAGGCTTCCCCCTCCCATCGCCGTCGCTTCCCCCTCCCATCTCCCTCGCTTCCCCCTCCCATCGCGTTCGCTTCCCCCTCCCGTCGCCCTCGCTTCCCCCTCCCATCCCCCTCGCTTCCCCCTCCCATCCCCCTCGCTTCCCCCTCCCATCGCCCTGCTGATTCCTCCCCCCGCCCCACTCTGCTTCCCCTGCTCATTCTCCTCCCCCCGCCCCAATCTGCTTCCCCTGCTCATTCTCCCCCCCCCGCCCCACTCTGCTTCCCCTGCTCATTCTCCTCCCCCGCCCCACTCTGCTTCCCCTGCTCATTCTCCTCCCCCCGCCCCACTCTGCTTCCCCTGCTCATTCTCCTCCCCCCGCCCCACTCTGCTTCCCCTGCTCATTCTCCTCCCCAAGCCCCACTCTGCTTCCCCTGCTCATTCTCCTCCCCCCGCCCCACTCTGCTTCCCCTGCTCATTCTCCTCCCCCCGCCCCACTCTGCTTCCCCTGCTCATTCTCCTCCCCCCGCCCCACTCTGTTTCCCCTGCTCATTCTCCTCCCCCCGCCCCACTCTGCTTCCCCTGCTCATTCTCCTCCCCCTGCCCCACTCTGCTTCCCCTGCTCATTCTCCTCCCCCCGCCCCACTCTGCTTCCCCTGCTCATTCTCCTCCCCCCGCCCCACTCTGCTTCCCCTGCTCATTCTCCTCCCCCCGCCCCACTCTGCTTCCCCTGCTCATTCTCCTCCCCCCGCTCCACTCTGTTTCCCCTGCTCATTCTCCTCCCCCGGCCCCACTCTGCTTCCCCTGCTCATTCTCCTCCCCCCGCCCCACTCTGCTTCCCCTGCTCATTCTCCTCCCCCCGCCCCACTCTGCTTCCCCTGCTCATTCTCCTCCCCCCGCCCCACTCTGTTTCCCCTGCTCATTCTCCTCCCCCCGCCCCACTCTGCTTCCCCTGCTCATTCTCCTCCCCCCGCCCCACTCTGCTTCCCCTGCTCATTCTCCTCCCCCCGCCCCACTCTGCTTCCCCTGCTCATTCTCCTCCCCCCGCCCCACTCCGTTTCACCTGCTCATTCTCTTCCCCTTTGCTCACTCCGTTTCACCTGCTCATTCTCTTCCCCCTATTCGCTTTCGTTCTCTGTTTCCCTTTCACTCACCCCCATTTCCAACCCCGCAGAATACAAGTCCCAGCACCATGGCCCAGCGTTTATTGCAAGCAGTGTAGCAGACAAGAGTGGATAGCAAAAGAAACATTTCCTAGCTGTCATCTTTGGGTTGATCATCAGTTGTTCCCTTACAAAAGAAATTTGTTTCTGTGTTGCACTTTTTTGTAGTGGTCAGGTGCACGGTAGCTCCTAAGCTCAGGGTTTGTATTATAACAAAGCATCCAACATCAATACATGGCATGGCTAGTTCGTGGTGCTATCAAACACCAACACATCACCACAACCAGATGCATAGAGGGCCTGTACAAACACAAACCAGGAAATAAGATGTGACATGACTAAATAGCAGGTAAACATACAAGAGAGTGGCAGTGCAAGGGAGGCGAGAGCCAACATTATGTATGAATCTGGATAACGCAAGACCTCTCGATTTACCTAAAATTACATCAGAATAGGAACAGGACAGAGTATGTAGATGACAGAGTGAACAGAGGAGTGAGCATGGTGTGTAAGGGAGCAGGGTGTGTGAGTGAGCAGGGTGTGTGAGTGAGCATGGTGTGTGAGTGATCATGGTGTGTGAGTGAACATGGTGTGTGAGTGAGCATGGTGTGTGAGTGAGCATGGTGTGTGAGTGAGCATGGTGTGTGAGTGAGCATGGTGTGTGAGTGAGCATGGTGTGTGAGTGAGCATGGTGTGTGAGTGAGCATGGTGTGTGAGTGAGCATGGTGTGTGAGTGAGCATGGTGTGTGAGTGAGCATGGTGTGTGAGTGAGCATGGTGTGTGAGTGAGCATCGTGTGTGAGTGAGCAGAGCGCGGGCACGGCGGGGTTACCCATAGCAGCTGCGCGCACACACACACCCGGGTTTTAGAGGAGAGGGAGGAAAGGGGAGGGGAGAGGCGGAAGGTGGAAGGGGGAAGGGGCAAAGAGGTTGAAGTTGAATGCGAAATCATTGCCTCTTACAGCTGTGGAGTTGCCTACGGCATGATTGGTTGGTGCACATGCTTACACAAAGACGGGCAGCAGCACGGCACCGCACCGCATGGCACAACACAATGTGAGGCAGCAGCAGCAGCAGCTTTACATAGTGCAATGGCCAGCCATGTATCTCACAATTTCATGTGCCTCTTTTTGGTGTCATGTAAGCTTGTATGACCCAGGCGTGAGGAGAAGCGTGGATGTGGCATGTGCTGCTTGTATGGAACGGGTTCGGGGTGATGGGGAGGGGAGAGGCGAAAGGCGTGAGGAGAGTGGTAAAATGAAACATCGCCTGCTCACGCACCTACCACCTCATAAGGGGGTGGAGGGGAGAGGGAGTGGTGGGGGGAAAGGCAGAAGTGGTGGAGCGGGGCATGGGGCATGGGGCATGGTGAACAGTGCATGGGGCATGGGGCATGGTGCATGGTGCATTGGGCATGCCGTTTTGACCATGTTCAACTCAGCATTGGATAGGCCGAGCATGCGGCAAGGTCATGTGCGGGGAAACGGGCTGAGAGGGAAAGGAGGAGAGGGACTGATAGGGAAAGGAGGAGAGGGGCTGAGAGGGAAAGGAGGAGAGGGGCTGAGAGAGAAAGGAGGAGAGGGGCTGAGAGAGAAAGGAGGAGAGGGGCTGAGAGAGAAAGGAGGAGGGGGGCTGAGAGAGAAAGGAGGAGAGGGGCTGAGAGAGAAAGGAGGAGAGGGGCTGAGAGAGAAAGGAGGAGAGGGGCTGAGAGAGAAAGGAGGAGAGGGGCTGAGAGAGAAAGGAGGAGAGGGGCTGAGAGAGAAAGGAGGAGAGGGGCTGAGAGAGAAAGGAGGAGGGGGGCTGAGAGAGAAAGGAGGAGAGGGGCTGAGAGAGAAAGGAGGAGAGGGGCTGAGAGAGAAAGGAGGAGAGGGGCTGAGAGAGAAAGGAGGAGAGGGGCTGAGAGAGAAAGGAGGAGAGGGGCTGAGAGAGAAAGGAGGAGAGGGGCTGAGAGAGAAAGGAGGAGGGGGGCTGAGAGAGAAAGGAGGAGAGGGGCTGAGAGAGAAAGGGGGAGAGGGGCTGAGAAAGAAAGGAGGAGAGGGGCTGAGTGAGAGGGAAAGGAGGAGAGGGGCTAAGAAAGGAAGAGAGGGGCTAAGAGAGAAAGGAGGAGAGGGGCTGAGAGGGAAAGGAGGAGAGGGGCTGAGAGGGAAACGAGGAGAGGGGCTGAGAGGGAAAGGAGGAGAGGGGCTGAGAGGGAAAAGAGCGAAGGGGCCAGCAGAGAGGGAAGGGACGGGAGGCGAAGAGAGAGGGACAGCAAGGGAGGGAAGGAGAGACGAAGAGAGAGGGACAGCGAGGGAGGGAAGGAGAGGCGAAGAGAGAGGGACAGCAAGGGAGGAAGGAGAGGCGAAGAGAGAGGGACAGCGAGGGAGGGAAGGAGAGGCGAAGAGAGAGGGACAACGAGGGAGGGAAGGAGAGGCAAAGAGAGAGGGACAGCGAGGGAGGGAAGGAGAGGCGAAGAGAGAGGGACAGCAAGGGAGGGAAGGAGAGGCGAAGAGAGAGGGACAGCGAGGGAGGGAAGGAGAGGCGAAGAGAGAGGGACAGCGAGTGAGGGAAGGAGAGGCGAAGAGGGGGAAGGGCGGAAATTAGAAGAAATGGAGCAAGGGGGGAGGGGAGGAAAGAGAGGGTTCGGTGAGAGATGGGAGGGAAAGGAGGAGGACATGTGTGGGGATAAGGGCGAGAAGCGTGGAGGGAGAGGGAGGGCGAGTGAGAGGGAGAAGGGGGAAATGGAGGAAAGGACTAGGGAAAAGGGAGGGAAAACAAGGGGGGAAACGGAAGGAAGGACAAGGGGGAAGGGGAGGGACAAGAGCGGAAATCGGAGGGACGGGAGGTGGGGAAAGGAAAAACGAAATGGACAAGAAGGGAAACGGATCCGGAGGAACCGGAGGGAAGGACATGGGGGGGGAAGGGGGGAGGGACAAGGGTCTTGGGATTGAGGCTGGGCGGGCTAAGAGGAAGGGAGGGAAGGACAAGGAGTCAGGGATTGAGGGGCAAGGGGAGGGGGGACACGGGGGAAAGGGAGGGAGGGGGGAGGGGGAAAACGGTGGGAAGGTCAGCGGGGGAAGGGAGGGAGGGACAAGGGACTTCAGGACAGGGTGGAAAGGCGGGAGAAACATGGGCGAAAAGGGAGACACGGGAAAAGAAAGGGGGGGCAGCGGGGGAACGGGGGAAAGTACAAGGGGGGAAACGAGAGTGGTGGGAAGCGGAATTGGAGAAAATGACGAAACGGGATGCAGTGCACGGTGGAATGCAATGGTATGCGGAGGGTACGGCGAGGAGAGAAAGGGGGGAAGAACAAGAGAGGAAAGAAGGGAAGGGCAAGGGCACAAGACGGGGAGGGGAAGGGAACGAGACGGGGAGGGGAATGGAACGAGACGGGGAGGGGAAGGGAACGAGACGGGGAGGGGAAGGGAACGAGACGGGGAGGGGAAGGGAACGAGACAGGGAGGGGAAGGGAACGAGACGGGGAGGGGAAGGGAACGAGACGGGGAGGGGAAGGGAACGAGACCGGGAGGGGAAGGGAGCGCGGCGGGGAGGGGAAGGGAGCGCGACGGGGAGGGGAAGGGAACGAGACGGGGAGGGGAAGGGAACGAGACGGGGAGGGGAAGGGAACGAGACGGGGAGGGGAAGGGAACGAGACGGGGAGGGGAAGGGAACGAGACGGGGAGGGGAAGGGAACGAGACCGGAAGGGGAAGGGAACGAGACGGGGAGGGGAAGGGAACGAGACGGGGAGGGGAAGGGAACGAGACGGGGAGGGGAAGGGAACGAGACGGGGAGGGGAAGGGAGCGCGGCGGGGAGGGGAAGGGAACGAGACGGGGAGGGGAAGGGAGCGCGACGGGGAGGGGAAGGGAACGAGACGGGGAGGGGAAGGGAGCGCGACGGGGAGGGGAAGGAAACGAGATGGGGAGGGGAAGGGAACGAGGCGGGGAGGGGAAGGGAACGAGACGGGGAGGGGAAGGGAGCGCGACGGGGAGGGGAAGGGAACGAGACGGGGAGGGGAAGGGAACGAGACGGGGAGGGGAAGGGAACGAGACGGGGAGGGGAAGGGAGCACGACAGGGGAGGGGAAGGGAGCACGACAGGGGAGGGGAAGGTAGCACGACGGTGAGGGGAAGGGAGCGCGACGGGGAGGGAAAGGGAGCGCGACGGGGAGGGGAAGCGAGGGCGACGTGCAGGAAAAAAAAAAAAAGAGCCACGAAAAGGGAGAATGACGAGAAGGCAATATGTGTCGGGAATGACGGAAGGGAGCGCCACGGGTAGGGAAGGGAGCGCGACGGGCAGGGAAGGGAGCGCGACGGGCAGGGGAAGGGAGGGCGACGAAAAGGCGGTGATGGGAGGCGACGGTACCGCCGCGACGATGGAAATGGCATTTGCCGCCGCGACGCTATTGATGGTCGTGACCGTCACGACATTGGGAACGGAAGTGACATTGGCCGCGAAAGATGGAACTGGAGTGCCCCTGAACTGCCTACGGTCGGAATGGTGGTTGACGACCACCATTCCGACCGTCACAAGAGCTCTTAGTCAAGGCGAGTCGTGTGTTACGGCGGCAGTCCTGAAAAAAGAGTGACGCGAGTTTGTGACCTTGTGAGGGAATGGGAGTGACGGGGAGGGCGAGATAAATAGGAGGGACAATACGAAATGAACGAGCGGGAATGAGTGCGCTAGCAGACACGTTCGCTTTCTAAGCTATGGAGCCTCCTAGATATCGAGTCTAGTATGGTCAGTTTCACTTTCAAGTTTGCTAAAGTATGAACAGTAGTCTGCGTGGTTGGCTTTTGTGGCGAGAGGGTTGATAATTTTGCCTGTGTTCATCTCAGCCAATCAGAATCCCCCTCCCAGAAACTGTTTCCGGTGGTTGCGAGGGTGGGAAAGCCCCAACCGGGTTACCCTGTTTTTGGCGATTTCAGCTTCAAGAATCTTGAACTTGAGCCCTTGCCATTCTAGACTTGGGCTTTAACAGTTGCACAAAATGCATTTCTTCTGCGAAACGCTTCGCAACCCTAAGACGATTTCGTCGCCTCTTGTTTTTTTTTTTTTTTTTTTTTTTTTTTTTTTTTTTTTTTTTGGGTTGCGAAGCAACCCTTTACGATCGATTTTGCCAGATTTTTTTTTCACATTTTATATTTATTTATAATAAAATGTGAAAAAAAAACTGGGTGCACTAGTTGCTAGCTACAAAACGTGTACCATAAGTTTTATCTAATTCAATTACGATGTGATGGTTCTGACCGCACTGCGTCATATTTTTGTATGTTGGATGATTAGTGGTAATTACGTGACTGTTATGAATATATTATGAATCGTACACATATGCTTAAATGAATATAATAATACATGCTTGCTTGAATATAATGATACATGGTCAACTGAATATAATAATGCAAATGATATAAATGCATTATGTGATGATGATAAAAATGCTTCAGTATGCATAATGTTGGATGTTAAAATGCATGCATTGTCAGAATGTTATTATTGTCTAGCCTGTAGTGGGGTGCTCTATAGCGAGTACAACCCAGTTAGGGTTTGCTATATGTACCCCAACTGCTGCTAGTGAAACCTCTCTCCTTTCAATCATTCTTGCCTAGTTCTGTTGACATGCTATCAGAGCAGGTCGACCCCCTTGGGTCGATCCTGTGGGTGGGCCCGCCACCTAACTGCTTCCGCTGCTATTCTGCTTCTCGCACGCCTCGGGCGCGCGCCGTCTTCTTCCTGCCGCGCGCGGAGCGCGCAGCGAAAATTTTTAGGGTTTTTCATCCCGCCGTGCGCTCAGGGCGTACGGCGGTTTTCTGCCCGCCGTGCGCCCCGAGGCGCGCGGCGGTTTCCTGCCCGTCGTGGCGCCCCCGAGGACCTGCGCGCTGCCCCCCGTCGTCCTCCTCCCGTCGCCTCGTCGCGGCGCCCTGGGGGCCCGCGCGTCCCCCCCCTCCCGTCGCCTCGTCGCGGCACCTTGGGGGCCCGCGCGCCGCCCCCTCCCGTCGCCTCGTCGCGGCGCCTAGGGGGCCCGCGCGCGGCCCCTCCCGTCGCCCGTCGAGCCGCCCTCGGGGGCCCGTGCGCGGCCCCCCTCCCGTCACCCGCCGTGGCGCCCTCGGGGGGCCCGCGCCCTGCTTCTTCGTGGCGCCCAAGAGCCACCCCGCTGCCTCCCTTCCCCTCCGTGCCCCGCCCCTGCTGTTTCCCGTGCTCCTGCCTGCGTTAGGGTTTGGGGGTGGCGGGCATGGGGGTGACCGGTGTGGGTAACCTGCGGCTCCTCCTCCTCCTCCGTCTCCCACTGCTGCAGCTGCCGCTGAGGGGGGTGGGTGTGTGGGAGCCGAGGGTTTAGGGTTTAAGGGGGGTGCCGTGGAAGTGGAGCTAGGGTGTCAGCAGGGGGTGTGTGAGAGGGGCGTGGGACGGTCGGGGGAGGTTGCGTGGAGGTAGCCGTCGTGACGCCAGCAGCGCCAGTAGTCCGGATGCCCTCGCGCGTTTCGGTAGCCCAGCGAGCCTGCTTCGCCAGTCGCCTGTGGGTCCGTTGCTCCTGTGTGTGCTCGTCGTAGCCGCGGAGCCAGATACTCCCGTAGTCCGTGTTAATTTGTATTATGCTTGTAGGCTGTAGTGGGGTAGCCAATATGGGGTACAACCCCAACTAGGGTTTCATATTTGTACCCAAACTTCTGTTAGTTCAATCATTCTTGCCTAGTGATTCTGACATGGTATTCAGAGCAGGAGGTCCCTAGGACCTACCGATCGTTTTTAGGGCCCACCACCGCTCGCATGCGGTTACCACGCTACCCCGTTCCCTAGCCTCGTAGCGCCCTCGTGCGCCCTCGTTAGCGCCCTCGCGCGCACCCTCGTTAGCGCCCTCGCGCGCACCCACGTCAGCGCCCTCGCGCGCCCCTTCGTTAGCGCCCTCGCGCGCCCCTTTGCTAGCGCCCTCGCGCGCCCCTTGCTAGCGCCCTCGCGCGCCCCTCACTAGCGCCCTCGCGCGCCTCTCACTAGCGCCCTCGCGCGCCCCTCGCCGAGCCGCCCGCTCGCAGCCCGCCCGCCCGCTCGCTGCCCGCTTCGCGGCCCGCTCACTACGCAGCCCGCCCGCCCGCTCGCTGCCCGCTTCGCGGCCCGCCCGCTTCGCAGCCCGCTCGCTCGCTGCCCGCTTCGCGGCCCGCCCGCTTCGCAGCCCGCTCGCTCGCTGCCCGCTTCGCGGCCCGCCACTTCGCAGCCCGCCCGCCCGCTCGCTGCCCGCTTCGCGGCCCGCCCGCCTCGCAGCCCGCTCGCCCCGCTGCCCGCTTCGCGGCCCGCCCACTTCGCAGCCCGCCCGCCCGCTCGCTGCCCACTTCGCGGCCCGCCCGCATCGCAGCCCGCTCGCCCCGCTGCCCGCTTCGCAGCCCGCCCGCCCGCCCGCTGCTCGCTTTGCGGCCCGCCCGCCTCGCAGCGTCGCCCGCCCACCGTGCTGCCCGCTTGCAGCGCCGCCTGCCCGCCGCGCTGCCCGCTTTCCGGCCCGTCCGCCGCGCTGCCCGCTCGCAGCGTCGCCCTCCCGTCGCACTGACCGCTTGCAGCGCCGCCTGCCCGTAGCGCCAGCCTCGCCCGCTGCTCTCTATCCGTGCACAGTCGTCTTCCCCTGCTGCGGCAGTTTTCGTTACTCTGTCACACTGTCGCTATGGCTTCCATTCGCGTGCTGTCGTTCGATGCTGAGGGCCGCCCTGTGCGTTTCACCGCTTGGCTAGATGACCTGCAGCTGTTTCTCCTGAGCGATAGCAAGGAGCATGTGTCGCTCTATGACTACGCGTCTGGTGCTGCGCCTGCCCCTCCTGCCACAGCTGAGCTTAGTGTTCGTTCCCACTGGCAGACTCGTGACGCAGCTGCTCGCCTAGCCATTCGCAGTCACCTGCCGTTAGCTGAGCTAGAGCATTTTGGCGACTGCAAATCCGCTAAGGCCCTGTACGACGCTGTCGTCGCTCGCTACTCCTCGCCTGCCACAGCCGAGCTTAGCCGCCTCATGCTGCCGTACCTGTTCCCCGATCTGTCCACCTTTACTACAGTCGCCGATCTTATCACCCACCTTCGCACTAGTGATGCTCGCCTGCGTGCCGCCCTTCCCACCGAGTTCTGCGCTAAGAACCCCCCTCCACTGTACTGGACACTCCACTTCATAGTCACCCGTCTCCCTGACACCCTCCGCTCAGTTCGAGACCACTTCCTTGCTCGCTGTCCCACTGAGCTCACAGTCGCCCTCCTAGAGGAGCACCTGCTCGCGGCCGAAAAGAGCATTGTAGCTGTCGGTGCTGCTCGTGGCGCTCCTCGCACCCCCATCTTTGAGGGGTGTTCTCCCTCTCCCCTCGCTCCCTCCTACGCTGCTGCTGCTGCTGTTGACTTCCTTGGTGCTGAGTCTGTTGGCGCTGCTTCTACTCCTGGTGGGAGGCGCCGCACCGGCAAGGGCAAGGGGGGCAAGGGTGGTGGTGGTGGCGCTGGGGGGGGAGGAGGTGGGGGAGGTGGGGGGGGAGGCGGTGCTGGAGGGAGCGGTGGCGGGAGCGCTGGTGGGAGTGGGGTCGGTGGTGGAGACGGGGGCGGCGGAGGGACCAGTGGCAGTAGTGGCGGCGGCGGCGGTGGCGGCGGTGGCGGTGGTGGCGGTGGTGGCGGTGGCGGTGGGCGGTGGGGCGGTGGTAGTGGTGGCGGCGGAGGTCGGAGTGGAGGCACTGGCTCTGGCCAGAGCTCCCAGCAGCAGCAGCGTCCCCAGACGACCCAGCAGCTTCGTGAGTGGCTTGCTCAGCGTGGGACGTCGGGGGCCAGTGCCCGCTGTTCTTATGTCATTCGCACAGGTGACCGCAAGGGACAGACGTGTGGGAGGTTCCACACCCCGTACCGCTGCTTCTCCCGCCTTGACGACGCTTGGCGTGAGGAGATGGGTGCGGATGTTGAGCGCCCCCGCTGGGCTGAGCTCATGAGGGCTGGTGTTGATGTCTTTGCTCTTGACTATGATGCTATTATTGCTGCCATGTATGCATTGACTGTTAGTGCCGAGGGAGACTGTTACTTGTGTGTGCCGCCTGACCCAGGTATAGAGCCCGCTGCCCTGGGTACTAGTGAGTCTGCTCTCTCTGGTATGGTGCCCCGTGTACTTGCTCCCTCCAGTGCTGTCCCGACTGGTTTCGAGTCTGCTCTCTCAGGTACAGCACCCACAGAGACTGCTCTCTCAGGTACCGCACCGGCTGAGGCCTGTCACACCTTCACCCTTGACTCAGGTGCTGCTGCGGGTGGTGCTGCTGGGAGTGCTGAGCCTGGGGGTGCTGAGCCTGGGGGTGCTGAGCCTGGGGGTGCTGGGCCTGGGGGTGCTGGGGCTGCAGGTGCTGGGACTGAGGGTGCTGGAGCTGAGGGTACGGTGCCTGAGAGTACGGAGCCTGGGGGTGCTGCGCCTGGGGGTGCTGAGCCTGCGGGTGCGGGGCCTGGGAGTGCTGGGACTGCAGGTGCTGGAGCTGAGGGTACTGTGCCTGAGAGTTTGCCGCCTGGGGGTGCTGAGCCTGGGGGTGCTGCGA